GAGAGACATAACATTCAATAGTTGGGAGAAGTATATGTGTTTTTGGTGGCTTAAGTGAAGAAACTAGTCTGTCGGATCTTGGATATATGTAAGGAAATGATAACTGATGTTGAATAAAATTGTCACCACTGGAGTCTAGTTTAAGGTTTGTATAACTTTGCTTAACTTGCTGCATGAAGGTGGCTTAACGACTCTTAACATTTTTCAGACTTAATGGCATTGTGGACTGTGGCGAACGACATCAACACATCTACAGAAGAACTATGCTATTGGCAGAACAAGTTAAAGTCAGCAGGGGGAGCCCCCTCATTACTTGTCTTCTGGAAGGCCCAAGTGGAAGGTAGAAGCTTGTGTTATTCTTGTTTTTTATGTGGTCATTTATCTTGAGTCTTTCTATTCCTTGGACAGTGGCAAAACTGCAATGGCAGCAACAGTTGGAATTGAAAGTGATTTTCCCTATGTCAAGATAGTAAGTTACTAAATATTGGGAACTTGTACATTTTCTGGGGATTAATTACAAATTCTCACTCTTAAACCCATCTCTTATCGCCTCTTTCCCCTGTGATTGTTAGATTTCTGCTGAAACTATGATTGGGCTAAGTGAAAGCAGCAAATGTGCTCAGATAGTAAAGGTACACACGTTAACCTGGTACATCACTTTAGTATGATCAGCTAAAAGATAAATGACTTTGTAAATACCCGTGCATATTACTTGCATTTTAGTTATTAACTATGTCTTGTGCTAATATGTGGTAGGTATTTGAGGATGCGTACAAGTCACCACTCAGCATAGTCGTCCTTGATGGCATTGAAAGGTAAATTTTCTGATACTAGATAAATAGCCTTCGAATGCGTTATGATGTGTTTATCATGCATGTACCTGTGCAGGCTTCTGGAATATGTTGCAATTGGCCCTCGATTTTCAAATTTGATTTCTCAAACACTGTTGGTGCTCCTTAAACGGCTTCCACCTAAGGTATTTCTTCATAATTATTCAGTATTGTATTTCAAGATGCTCATTTGGTACCCATGTGTGGGGTTGGAAAGGCTCATGGACATGCATCAGATAACTTAAGGGGGGTATCAAAGCAACGGAAAGAAAAGAATGCTTAAGTGGTTTTCTGGAATTTTACAAGAGAAGCGCAAAAAAGCATTGAAGTCCACGTGGCTTGAAGCGAAAAATGACACGCTTCTTTAAAGTGAAGTGCTCAATTTACAGGAAATAAAAAAATTCAATACATATACGAACTTAGTACTATAATTATCAAATTTCAGTTAAATAACTAAATTCAATATACAATATACAATAATGCCAATATAATCCAACTCTTCAAAGTTGAGATTCAAAGAATCAACCTTTTCTCATTCAGAACACTTTGCATGTCATTGTCTGAAGCACAAACATATCTGAAACGTGTGGCTTCATGGCTTCACCCATGAAGCGATGACCTCTCACTCTTGATATTTGACTAATTCCTACATAATAGTTGCCCGGAAGCTGAAAACCAAATCAATGTTAAAGAGTCTTGTGCCGAACCTACATGCCTTGTAAAGTTTTTCTTGGGGTGGTGTGTGTGTGTGAAAGAATTTCTCCCATTTCTATCTTGAACCCATCAAGTCCTCTAGTTGTTTTGATTTTTGCCTCCATTGGAAGAAAAGTACAGATAAACTTAGACACCCAGGTACTAGAACGCCCAAGACACATACTGATGATGACCTACTGCTTTTTTATGAGCTGGATTTTAATTACGTTGTGGCTACATATGCAACTGCTTTTTGCTGATGATTCTTACGGCGGGTTTCATGTTACAGGGTAAAAAAATTCTCGTGATTGGAACTACTAGTGAGGCCGGTTTCTTGGACTCGGTTGGCCTTTGTGATGCTTTCTCAGTCACATACCATGTTCCAACATTAAAGACAGAAGATGCCAAGAAGGTAAGAGGGCATCCAAACTGCCATGATGTTGATGTTTTATAATGAAAATTCATTTTCCAGTTAAATTGCCCATAGTTCTAACATGAAGAATGAAACTTTTATATGAAATAAAACGGTAGATAGTCATCTGTTACGTCAAACCATATTAGTTGGACTGTGAAGACGGAAGAGCAATGAAACTCCAAATAAATTCTTATATTGGATGCCATACGTTGAAAGGAAAAAGGAAATCCTATTTTTTATTGTAGAGCAGGTAGGTGCAGAAAAGCTTAACTAGGACATCTCAATTAGGTATTTCCAGATAACGTAATCCAGTGCTAGTGGCCAATAAACTCCTTACAAAAGAATACTTCACCTCCCACTGAACCAGAATCGTCGTGGCAAGAAGATTACTGAATAATAGCTTGTGAATTCTGACGGTGTAACAAAATAGTGGCTTTTGTCATTGATGCCACTAAATTTGTCAATATATCTTTATCTATTGAGCTCTCAGGATCCATTTTACTTTTTGTCTGGAACAAACTGTGGAGCAAATGAGTTGGTGATTTGAGAAGATTTCTCATCATCAGTAGGCTGTATACTTTGTCTTTCCTTAGTGTATGTATTGACTCTCGAATTCTAGTTCATTGGTTCAATTATTGGAGATGTCCTACCAAATTCCTTGGTGATGAGTTAGAACTCTTGAACTCTAGTTCATTGGTGCAGTTACTGAGATTTTAGACCTAATGTCATCGCCATTCTATACCCGCCCAAGTATTGATGCTTTGATGTTATTTGCAGGTGTTACAACAACTTAATGTCTTCTCAAACGATGATGTTGATTCTGCTGCTGAGGCATTAAATGACGTAAGTTTCAAAGCTCTGCTCCCTGTCTATCAGACAAGCACGCTTTTCATACATGTCTCTTCCCTATACGAATAGTTCATATTTGTCTCATCGCCTTCTGATATTGGCAGTGCTTGGGAAATTGAAATTTCAGGCGTATGATAGAGGTTGGTCAATAACTCTTGTTTGTGTTGTCTTCTGATAGATGCCCATCAAGAAACTATACATGGTTGTCGAAATGGCTGCTCAAGGTGAACATGGTGGGACGGCAGAAGCCATCTATTCTGGCAAAGAGAAGATCCAAATCTCACATTTCTATGATTGCCTTCAGGACATTGCTCGATATTGAGTGCTTGGTATATTTTTCTTCTGGAGTAATTTAGGTAGGAACCGTGGTTTTCCTCTTGAGTCCTCTATATTTTTCGTGGGCCGCTTTTTCTCATACACCCATTGATGGGGCTCTTCTATTCATGAATTACTTTGAGATGTTTATTGGCCCTTCAGAAGCTCAGTTCTGTAATTGGCGATTTAGTTAGTATTTGTTAGATCTCATTCTGAAACTTCATTTGCTTTCTTATCCCTTATTTATTGGTACTCTCTTTTTCTTTGTCCTTTGTTGTTGCAGTAAGTATTGTAATCTCTGTTGAGTTGAACTTTCCACCTTATACGACTATAATATCTTGAGAGGACTTTCTAGTATGCTTGAAAGTTGAAAGCTTGCAATTATTCTTTGTTTTGTAGCAAATGTGTGTTTGTTCTCATTTATCCATTTTCGTTTCATCTGTTTATTATGTAATTTATACGCATTGAATTGTTTAAGTAGAAATACTTGGTTATATTTCCAGCTAAAGACTTTAGCTCTTGTGACGTGATTGTTTGCTTTTCTAACTCTTTTCGAGTATAATCACATATATCATCATCATAGGAATTTTTACACGCTTGATCCTTTTCTTAAAATTATTGAGAAAAATAGAATCACTTCTAATTTATTCCATAAATAGCACTTTTTTTTATAGTCCAAGTTAAAACATATAGTCACTTCTAAGGATTGTGGTGGCATGGTTGAAATTTATTGAAAACATATAGATGAGTCAATATACATATTTGAGGAAGATTGGAGGTGATTTGGACTAATTTAGTATCAAAATTCGCAGTTAAAATCGAATTCAAAAAATTCTTCTGCGACGCATGTATCAAACATGTATCACCCATGTGATACACACTTGATATAAATATGATACATATGTGATATACAAATGATACACCATTTTTTTTCATGTTCATCTTCTACTTCGAATTTTCAATTCAAACCACCTCAAAACTCCACCAAATCATCCCAATACTGAGATTCAAACTCCTCAAGATGTACCTAATCTATTTTAATAACACCCATTCAAAAAAAAAAATTGACATTTTCTACAAATAACTAATTGGCTTATATTGATCATATTTGGCTAATATTAGTAATATTTTACGAATTCACCAATTTTTGTAATAAACTACTTATAAATGGACATAATTGATAGTTTTCCAATACAAAGTCGAACTAAATGAACTATACTCATTTTCAGTCAATGGTGGATCCTACCTATTTTGTCCAACTCAAAGAGTTGAATAAATCAAACCGACACAAAGCATTATAGTTTCATCACTTAACTTTCCTTCCACAGCGATGTATGTAACAAACCACTAATACCATTTTCTTACCAAACATTTGTTAGTATTTTCATAGTTAGATGAAGCAATGATGCAAAGAAAATAAGTCTCTTCTAAGAGCTAATTTCCATCTTGAAATGTACCCTACAATTCAAAATACAACAACAGACTCAGTGTAATTCCACAAGTGAAATCTGAGGAGGATAGTATGTACGCAGACCTTACCCCTACCTTTAAGAAGGCAGAGAAGCTGTTGAAAGACCATCGGCTTAGGAAAGACAAAGGAAGGGCAGCAGCAAGCACACCAATTAAACAACCGAAGCAAAAATACAAAGATCCAAAACTAAAACCGAGCATTGTAATCAGACAGGCCGAAATGAAAGCAACACAAGTAATCACGGAAATCAAGGAATACGAAAATACATAAATAACGCTAATTCATGTACTAAAGCTACTGTTACAGACAAGGACAACGCTAGGCGACCTATCCTAACCCTTTACACAATTCAAATAATCAAGACGAATTATCTCGTATTTCCTGCTCCAGCAAATCAATTGTGCACAACTTCCTTGCTTTATTCCTGTATTTGATAAACAAATTCTTTTGAATAAGAAAACTGTAAATATTTAGCTAATTGAGCTTGTATGGTGCCAAAACAAACTAAGCATTAGACAAAATTTTGTATCTCCGCTTGTCTATTCAGAGGCCAGCTGCTATGCTTCAGACATTGAAGCCTTCAGCTCGAAGGCATTTACGATGAGCTTCAATCCATTTCTCACAAGCGGATTCACCATGCTCCACAATGCATTCATCTCTCAGCTTCTTAGTATCAGGGCAAGCGCAACAAATCTTCTTCTTTGGCTTTGAATCGGGCACAGCAGGGGCAGCTGACTTTTGATCTTTTGGTACTTGCGACAAAGATATGGCTGTAGATGTATTCTCTATTGGCAGTCCACCCATTTTTGAAGAATACTGGAGGAGTTAGAAATGAAAGATTATGCTTTAGCATTGAAATAGAGGCTAACAGAAGTAAACCAACAAAAAGACCAGAAGAAGATGCATAACGAGTGCTGACAAAAACTACATTTTCCAATGCGTATCCCACAAGTGGGGTCTGGGGATGGTAGTGTGTCCGCAGACCTTACCCCTACTCCGGAGGAGTAGAGAGGCTGTTTCCAATAGACCCTCGGCACAATAAGATGAAAACGAGACAGTGTAGCAGTAACAACAAAGGAATCCATAAAGATAATACCAGCAACTTAATAACCAGAAAATGCATAACAATCCTTAAGAAAATAAGTTGAGAAGGAGATTGAAGGTATTAGCAATCAGCCACCTTCAGTTTTTTTCCCCTCTCCTACTCTCTAAAAGGCAAAGCTTTAAGCTTCTTTATTGTACTTAATTGTTAAACAACATGCTCTCGCTTCATCTCCTCAATTATCATTAATTGAGAAACTTATCAGAATTGAAATTCAAAGGTATATATAATTTGGATGCCATCAGCAGTAGCTATCAGGATTATCTATATCATCTAAACATAGAAGTTATAACCGAAGTTATGAGTATTCTCTTTTGCAATCTAAAACCATCAATTTCTTCTCCTTTTCACCATACTTTTGGAACCCTCTCACAGCTAACATTACTAGAGAAAATTACTCAGCATCAAAGCGGGTTTAGCAGGAGTCCGGAACCAAAATATTGTAAAGTTTGACTCCAGGGACAAAAATAGGTGAAAAAAAGTGTTGAGGACCATATTATGTATAACGCATCTAAAACATGCGCTATACCTTAACGGCCAGTGTACCCTGTTAAGATATAGCGCATGTAATATATGCGCTATACTCAGTATTTGCAGCCATAATAATTGACTGCATAGCGCATCAATTATATGCGCTATGTATAAACATACCCCCAACCCGCACCTTCTTCATGATATACTTGTATCGAGGCTAAACTTAAAGGTTGTTTTTGGTTGAACATTGGAACTATCATTTTGTTTGATCTCTAATGCAGTAATAGTCGAATTGAGTGACTTGGAAACCTTTTTGTATTGGGCAATTAAAAATAATGACTTACCCAAATAACAAATGATGACTTTCTTTCTAAAAAGCAGAGTATTAGCGTAACTTTTTATACTATCGTTACGTATCTTCCTTAGAAGATAAAGTAAACTATGGCATTGAAAACAACATACCTACCTCAATCAATTTACAATTAAATATTTGTAATTCCTAATACAGATTACGCCAGAGAGTAAAATAAGTCAAAAATTCACAAATACATGAATATATCACAAATACATGAATATACAAAAATCCACAGAGTTACATGGGCTAATTTCCAAATTAAATTGTTAATTATACTAAAAAGATACCACGTTTTATGTGATTTTCTTGAAATAAAGAACTGGATTGGGAGGAGTATGCATAGCGCATATAATTGGTGCGCTATGCAGTCAATTATTATGGCTGCAAATACTGAGTATAGCGCATATATTACATGCGCTATATCTTAACGGGATAACTGGCCGTTAAGGTATAACGCATGTTTTAGATGCGTTATACATAGTATGGTCCTCAACACTTTTTTCCGCCTATTTTTGTCTCTTGAGTCAAAATTACAATATTTTGGTTCCGGTTACCATAATCAAAAAGGAAAAAAAACGGGTTTAGCAGTAGCAAACAATTTCAAAACACGGTAAAAAGCAGGATCAACACTAGCAACAATTTCAGATCATATAAGGATTCCAAAAGCAGAATCTCTTCCCCCCCCCCCCCCNTTCACCTTACTTTTGGGACCCTGTCCCAGCTAACATTACTAGAGCAAATTACTCAGCATCAAAGCGGGTTTAGAAGTAGCAAACAATTTCAAAACACAGTGTCAAAGCAGGATCTAACAGTAGCAAACATTTTCAGACCACCACACGCTCTGCTTATTTGTTATCCTTTCCGAGTTGATATCAGTACAAAAAGTCTCACATCTGAGTGTGTATAAGTATTCATGAAACCTTTTAGATATGAATTTATACGATATGATAAACAGATTATATTAGTAGAAATAGTTTCTCCTGGGAATAATTAATATCTCTATTTGGGCCTAATATTTCATTCCAACATTTTGTAATAATTAGTATCCTAAGACGAATTATGAGTTCACTAAAACTAGAGTTTCATTAAAAATTAGTCATCTTCAATTAATATTTTTGTGGGAAAAGGCAATATCAGTGCTCAGATAACAAACAATTCACATCTGAACCCGGTACTTTTCATGCGGAGCATAAATATGCATACAAATTAACTAATATTGCAACATACAATAGATATGAACCCATAACTTTAAAAATATAATGAGTTCAGGCAAGACATGACGCAGTTTTAGATTTTCGGGGACATGACCCTTGATAGGAAGGTGTGGAGGTCGAGCATTAGGGTTGAAGGTTAGGAGGTAGTTGAGCGCTTTTCTACTTTGTACTGGGTGTGGGGCTAGCCTGATAGTGTTTTGTCTTAGACTGCTTGTAGTTCATATTGTGTCCATACCACTCCCTCGTGTTCGTAGTACCATGCCATTGTTACTATTTATTGTTATTGCTTGTTTTTCAACTTTCTGGTTCCTACATTGCTGGTATTATCTTTCTGGCTCCTGTTGCTGTTACTAATCTATTGTCTCTTTTTTTTTTTTTTGATGAAGTAAGAGAATTCCATTAAAAGCATCAAGAAGATGCATAGCAAAAGAGAGTACAAGTAAAGAGAGTGTGTCTGCTCATCAACAAAACAAAAATAAACCTATGTTAAAACTAAGGAGCAGACACAGTCCAAAAAATGATCACAACTAGATACAAGTGCCTAATTAAGCCAAGTAAAAAGGTTAAATAAACATTTAGCTTTAAGAGCATGGGTCTATCGTCTTCTTGAGCCGAGGGTCTATCGGAAACAGCCTCTCTACTCCTCCGGGGTAGGGGTAAGGTCTCTCGAACACACCACCCTCCCCCGACACCACTTGTGAAATTTTACAAAGTTAAAAACCTTAAAAGTCGAACCCATACAGTTTAAATCTTGCATTTAGACGATAGACGCATCCTCACTAAAATAAAAGAATTCGAATTAAAAAATGCAAAAAATGAAGAATAGCATGTGTTCGTTCTCTATATTTCAGCAAATAGATTGCTTAATCTGTTTAATTCAGTTTGATTTGTCGAAAAATAACAGAGTACTCAACAAGGCTTGAGTTCTAATATCAAAGTGGTGAATCACATAGACACAAAAATTCAAGGATTAAATTGTGTATAATAAAACATGAAAATCAGGTTAATTCAAATTCAAGGGCTTAATTTTGCCTAACCTTTTTCTCCTTTGTTCTTCGCTGGGGTTCCGTTGATGCAGACGGCGTTTTTGGGATCTCTCTTGTGGACAAATAACTTGCTACGTTTATTAGGAATTCGCCAAACGCGTCCGAATCTTTTTCTTTTTGACAGATTCCTCCCTTTTTTCTATGAAATGACAAAGTCCCCTCTAAAGTTACAAAAATTGATGATTTCCCCCATATCACTTTTTTTTCTTCCACTTTTTCTCGGGCAATGCGCGGGATGCCAATGGTTCGGTCTAGTCGGTTATTTTATAAAATTTATACCATATTAATTTTCGGTTACTCTATTTTGTATGACTAAGATTAGATTTTCCGAAACCTTACCAATCATCTTTGTTCCTCTTCGGTATCTATACGGTTCCGTTAGTTTTCGGTATTATTTTTAAAATGTCAAATTAGAGTCTCCAATAGAAGTTATTAAAATGCAATAACATGCGTGTTTGCATAGGACTTTAGCAAAACTATCTACGCATTTTTCTATTTAAGAGGTAATGAATTAAGAGAACTTGAAAGATAGCCAAAATATAGCCATCTCACTATTCTATAAGCAGCGTAAAATAAAGCAAGCAAAGGCGAGAGGAGTATAAATCACCCAAGTGAAAAAATATTAGTTAAGTTGGCACTTAAGAATAAAATCAATTATAAGATTGAGTATTCAACAAATGAAATCTAAACGTACGAGAAGAAAGATATGCAATACCTTATTGTTTGCTACTCAAGATCGTCGGAATACCTTGTGACTTGCTACTTAAAATGCTGAAACTAACTTGATTTCAACCGGATTACCAGAATGGGTTTGGGAGTCGGACTTTAGGTGTTAATTACATATTGGCTTGTAGTCGTTTTCATAATCCCAAGACTTTAGGAGAAAAAAAATTGCTTTCTTATTTTTAAACTTAATATATGAAATATATTTTTCATATATAAATTTATCGATATGGTTCAGAATTTTTATAGTTTATTTTTATAAAATAAAAAAATATACCCGATTATTAGGTACGGTTATAAATTTATATAAAAATCTACAATTTTATTTAAAAAAACCTAATAATCAATTCGGTACGACATAATTCGATTGGTTTAGTCGATTTTTGAAGATCCATTGACCTACACACTCTGTAGAAGAATAGATTGGAATAACTTTATCTTCTTTAATTTTTTTCTTTTTGATAATTGGGAAATTTTATATGTGGCCCACGGTTGAAGACTTGGTGGCTAATGGGTCGATTCTTCTATTTTTGTCCATTAAATATAAGTTTTTTTTATGTGATAGGGTTCAACTTGTGACATATACCTAACTCATAATTGAACCACTTTATCAAAAAATTATATCATGTAAATTGAGCAAAAATAAATATATTGCCTAATATATAAATTGCAGATAAATTTAATCTGCAAAGACGATTGATATATTCAAAATTTATTATGTCAAACCTGCACACTTTGTCAAATTAGAAATTTTAAGTTACTTTGTCCCTTTCTATAATTCTGCCGTCATTAATATAACATGAATGAAAATTTCCACGTCAGAAATTCACCCCTTCATCTTCTTTATCAGTCAAAATCAAATTATTTTTATGTTCGTCGGCTGAGAAATTCGAGGACCAGCAATATATGATTCAAAACTCAGTAAATAATTAACCTATTATTTTCATTTGTTTCAATTTACATGTTCATTTATTGAGAGTCAATTTAACCAAATTTTAAAGTTAAATTGGATTAGTTCAATATCAGTTTGACTGTCAATAAAGAAAATATATCATTTAACATGAAACGGATGAAATATTAGATTTTTGTCTTAATTTTTTTTTGGGTGGAGGGAGGGGGGGGGGGGAGGCAGGAAAAAACACTGTAAGCAGGGGCGATCCTTCTATAAAGCAAGTAAAGCAACTGCTTTAGGCCCCACATTTGCGGGGGTTCCATTTTTTGTTACTCTTAATAGGCTATGTGTAAGTTTAAAAAAAGGTTTTGTGAAGTGAAAAAAATTGATTTCTTTCATTAACAAGTACAGAGAAGAAGGATTTGCAACTGCTATGATTTCTGCCAAGAAAATTGTACTTGAAATGAATATTGAACTCGAATTTCGTAAGAAACGTGTGATATATAGGAAATAACAATTTGATGAGAATGTTGATAATAAAATCTCAAAATCTTTCGAAGAATCCTTTGGAGTTGATTACTTTATAGATAGTAGACAAAGCTATTTTTTTCACTTCAAAATAGATTTAAACAATTTGAAGCACATGAAGATATTTTTAATTTTCTATTTAACGGTAAATATTACGATCACTAGATGATGAAAATTTGAAAACATATTGTCTTAATCTTGAATGTTCTTTAAAGCGTAATAATCAATTCCATATTGATAGTTTAGATTTATTCTCGTAATTAAAAGTATTAAGAAAAATAGTACAATTAGAAGATAACAGTTTAATTGATACACTCGGTCAAATAAAAAGATTTGATTTCTTTTCCAATGTCTATATTGCTTATGGAATAATGCTAATAACTCATGTTACCGTTGCATCAGCAGAAAGAAGTTTTCAAAATTAAAATTGATAAAATCTACCTAAGGTCAACAATGTCTCAAGAAATGTTAAATGAATTAGCTATATTGTCAATTAAGAAAGATTTATTAGGAGTTATTGATTATAAGAAAATTATTAATAGCTTTGTATCTAAGAAACACTAAAAAAATTGACTCAAATAAATAAATATTTTAAAAAAAATAAATGCTTAGGCCCTTCATAAAGTTTGGTTTTAGGCCACAAAATTCGTCGGACCGCCCCTAACCGTAAGCTTGGCATTTGTGAGAAAATATCAATAAGAATCTAAAAACTGAGACATGTACTATTATTTCATTTGTTCTTTTCGATATAGACTCTGCATATCAACAGTTACTATACTATTTGCAATCAACGTGCTAAAACATGATATATATGGCATTAATTCAAATTTAGAAAGATCTAATAGAAAATATTATGGATGAGATTGAAGGACGAGGTTTCATCAATAAACTTAACGTTGAAGTTTTAAATACAATCAAACCTCTTTATAACCGTCTCGTTTCTTCCAAATTTTTTGAATTTTTATAGTGAAATGCTATTATAAAAAATATATATTATAATATAATTTGATGTTGGGATTGAAGGTTGGTGAATGGGAAATGGACGAAAAAATGGTGAAGGGAAATTGAATCCTTTATACTTTAGAAAAAGTAATTGTCCCTCATTGGTACCGGAAAAAAAAGGGAATCTGATTACAACAACAACAACAAAAGACCTAATTTGATCCCAACATATGGGGTTTGGGAGAAAAGGGAATCTGATTACATTGAGAAAACACTTCCTTGGTGTTAAATGAGTTGGAAAGAAGTAAGCCTCATGGCGTTGTTCGCTTGGCTTTGGATTTGAATTCGGTCAAAGATTGATTGATTAATCTTTTTGGATAAAATTTCTTTCAGTTATTTAATTAATTATCGAAAAGTCAACACGCACAACACAACCCGATCCGTTTCTTTTTCCCGAATTATTTTAAATTCTTTTCTCGGAATATTTGAACGTTCCCGCCTGTTCTAACAGCCATGACTGTTTTTGAAAGATTGCAAACTTTTCAGAAACAATGTTAGAAAATGGCTATAAATATGCGTTGATCCCAAAATCTTTCCTTACGAAATTTTCTGAACTTCTTCTTCTTCTTCTTCTTCTTCTTCTTCTTCTTCTTCTTCTTCTTCTTCTTCTTCTTCTACACAAATAAATTCCAATGTGATTTACAACCATTAAGTGATTCGCAGTTCACTAGAATTTTTGGTACCAATACTCTGGTGAGTTAAATCATTCTATCCTGAGAGAATAATATTCCAATACCTCGGGTACTTGAGGGGAATAATTTTTTTAAGGACACACTGTGCATTCAATGTGCTCGATTTTATTCCGAAGTATATTTTCAAATTCTACTTTATTACTATTTTTCCTATTTCTGCTTTCTGTTACAGAAAATTTATTGTTCCATATATTGTAGTTAATATAGATTGATAACACTTGAAAGATTAGTTCCTAAAAAAATTTAACCTTTATAGCGAAATGTTATTATAAAAAATAACTTTTACATATAGACGTAAGAAAGACTTATTGAAATTCGATCAAAAGTATATGACCATCTATTAAGTGGACCAATTGACACACTGAGTTGAACTAATTTGGGACCCTACTAAAGATTCCTGAGTCATAGGCTCTATATTAATCAAAGCCACTTTCATTGAATATTCATAAAGTAGGCTAATTACATCAATCTTGTTGACAGATGTACAATCACATAAAATAAAAATAAAACACTTCTTCAAGATAAGAGGCAACTAAAAATGGTTTCTATTGACTCTGGATAAGTTAACAGGGGACTGCAGGAAAATCAGAAATAATATAATGCTATACAAGAATTCAATTTAAAGGAGCCTTGGCGTAACCTAAAATTGTTGTCGTGTGACCAAAAAATTACGGGTTCGAGCCATGAAAACAATCTCTTGTAGAAATTCAAGCTAAGGTTGTATGTAATAGACCTTTATGGTTCGTCCCTTTTCCGAACCCCGTGCATAACAGGAACTTGATGCACCGGCTTCGAGCCATGAAAACAACCTCCTGCAGAAATGTAAGGTAAGACCGTATACAATAGGCCCTTGTGGTCCAGCCCTTTCCCAGACCCCGCACATAACAGAAGCTTAATGCATCGGCTTCGAGCCATGAAAACAGTCTCTTGCAAAAATTCAAGGTAAGATTGTATACAATAGATCCTTGTAGTCCGGCCCTTTCGCCACCCTGCATATAACGGGAGCTTAATGCACCGGGTTGCCTATACAAGAATTCAATCCATAATTGTTCTACCTTTCAAGTTTATATCTTGTGCTGAAAGAGTCTTGGAAAATGAAAAGGTAAAAATTTCAATAGAAGCCAACATAAGGAGATCACAAACACTTCTCATTTCTATCAACAAAAACTTACATCAAAGATAATTAAGGGAGAAAAGGAGGTACTATACAAACTTTATCCACACAAAAAGAACAAAAAAAAAAAAAGAAGAAAGTACTGTACAAGATTGAAGCAGAGAAACACAATCTTTTTTGTGTTTCAAAATTTTAACTTGCAAAGTAGCTTCTTGTCACACAATCATATCCATATGATGCCCCAAGCAATCCAACTAGTTCGGAATTGAGAAGCAGTTGATTGATATTTGAACAAGAACTGATGTTGTTGTCTTGTGAATAAAAATGTAAAAACGCAAACAAAGACTAATCAAACTTTTTTTAATATCCGAGAAATCTCTGAAGGTCAGCAGCGTACCGTCCAAAACTCGATGGATAATGGACATAGTAGTGCACTGAGTTTCGGATAATGGACACAGTTGTGCACCATTCGAAACACAGATGAGTAATGGACACAGTGGCACACCATTTGAAACTCGGAGGATAACGGACATGCCCTCTACCAACACTAATCAAACTTTTTCTAATAACCGAGAAATCCCTGAAGGTAAGCAACACATCGTCCAAAACTCGATGGCTAATGAACAAGTAGTGCACCGCTCGAAACTCAGGTGGAAAACAAGCACACCCTCTACAAAGACTAATCAAACTTTTCTTAATAACCGACAAATCCCTGAAGGTTAGTAACGCACCGTCCAAAACTCGACGGATAATGAACAAAGTAGTGCACCGTTCGAAACTCGATGGATAATGAACATAGTAGCATCCTGTTCAAAACAAGATGGATAATGGGCACGCCCCTTTACCAAGACTAATCATACTTCTCTCTCCAAGAATACACGAGAAAGAAAACCCAAGAAAGACCTAAAGCAATGTCAGCAACAACAAGTCTCAACCAATCACGACCAAGATCCTCTTCAAGTTTCCTCTCAAAGTAAATTCTCCAAATAGCCATAGCAATGTGAAGAAGAACACATCCTTTAGCAAAGAATCCATGAAACTCTCTATCCTTTATAAATGCAACCATGAACAAGAAAAATCCAATTGCAAATAAAAGCAGTCCAGAAAATGAATCAGATATTTGGATTATTAATTGATCATGTGGTGTTGACCCCAGAAGTTTACTAGCACGTTCTCTGCCATGGCTAAATATAAATACCTCATTGCTGTAAAACATCATTAATCCTCCAGAAGTTAATGCCACCATAGAATGAAGAATACACAAGAGGAAAAATCCAGATGACCCCATTTGATCACTTAAATCACCCAAAATTATCTCCTTATTTTTTAATGACCGAGAAATTTGTCTCGAGCCAACCCTTAAGAACAATTGTAACCTTCGAAACTCGGAGATAATGAGCCTACCTTTTTACCCTTCTTCACTTAAATATCAAACTTAGTTTGCATGGCGCAGAGCTCGAACCTGAAAATTATCTCCTTATTTTTTTATGACCGAGAAATCCGTGTGGAGCTAACCCTTAGAAACAATTGTAACCGTCAAAACTCGGGGATAATGGGGCCGTTTCTCTACCCTTCTTCACTTAAATACTAGACTTAGATTGCATCGTGCAGGGCTCGAACCTGAAAAATTCTCTCCTTATTTTTTAAGGAATGAGAAATTCGCGTAGTGTCAACCTTTAGGAACAATTGTAACCTTCGAAACTCAGAGGATAATGAGCCCGATTCTCTACTCTTCCTCACTTAAATACCAGACTTAGTTTACATAGCGCAGAGCTCGAACCTGAAAATTATCTCCTTATTTAGCTCAACAAAGCTTCAATTTTTTTTTCCTGGAGAAAACAAAGAGGAAAAAAAATTACAAATGAAACCTACAAAGCTTCAATCTTTAGGCAAAAACACATCACCAAACCTCTAAACAACTTCAAGAATTACATGAAACACCCAAATTTCTATCTTTATTCAGCTGCGCAAAGCTTCAATTTTATGTGTTAAGAATACATAAGAGAAAAAAAATAATACAAATGACCCTATTGATTAATTTGAAACACCCAAAATTATCTTTTTTTTTTAGGTCACAAAGCTTCAATTTTTAAGCATAAAAACATCACCAAACCCTTGTAAACATATTCAAGATTGACTTAAACACTAAAAAATTATCTCCTTTTTTTATGCCTGGAAAATACATAAAGAGGAAAAAAATACAAATGAACCCTATTGATTATTTCGACACACCCATAATTATCTCCTTTTTTAAGCTCCCAAAATTAAATTTTTAGGCTTAAAACATCATCCAACCCTCATAAACTTCTTCAAGAACTACTTGAAAGAGCTAAAATATCTCCTTTTTGGCTCACCAAAGGTTCAATTTTTATACTTGCATAATACATAAGAGGAAAAATTACAGATGACCCTATTGATCATTTGAAAAAACCAACAATTTCTAAAAAAATTTCAGCTCACAAAGATTCAATTTTTAGGCATAAGAACATCCAAACATACTTGAAACACTAAAAATTATCTCTTTTTTTAGCTCAACAAAACTTCAACATTTATGCCTGGAGAATACATATTTCAAGAAAATTCGGACCAAGGATGTGGTGCAGTGTATGGAACTGCTCTTTTGGGGCCAGGCGGCGTGAATCCAGATATAATCGGGCTCTAATGCAGGTACCGGACACCGGTGGGAAACAAAAGAAAAATACAGATGAACCTATTGATTCTTTAAAACACCCAAAAATATCTTTTTTCCAGCTTATCAAAGATTCAATTTTTAGGGAAAAAACTTAAAGATTCACTAAAATACATGAACAAGTCACCTATTATCAAGAACCCCATATAACAAAATAGTGTAAAAACAAGACCAAATGTTCAAAGAAAAAGAATTTCCTCAAAAAACTCTGCCTTCAAATCATTAACGTGTAGTATTATACCTGAATAGAGGTGTTACCCTGGGATATGAACAATAGGAGTTTGGTCCACTTACAGCTTCACAGATGTCAGCTTTAGGATTTTAAAGATAATTTCTGTGACTGATCTGGTTGATGGCATGGACAGACAGATGGACTATTTCAAGATTTAGAGAGAGAGAGAGAGAGGGTTTTGGATCCAAAAACCAAAATCCTCAACCAGCTGGAAAGTGATGGAAAGAATATGGAGGAGAGATTTTTCTTTTGGCTTTTGATAAAGGGGTATATGGAAAATATCTCAGCAGTTTAGGGGCCCAATTTTCTATTTAAGAAAAAACCAATAAAGTTAAAATCTTTTATCTAAATTAGACGTTTTCCCCTTATGCCGATGATCTTTCGGAAACATTATACCTTTACAGGTAGGGTGAAATTAAAAAATAATCAAATTTATAAATAGTAATTAAAAAATAATCATAGTTTCAGAAGTAATTAAAATATAGTTACTTTTCATATAAAGATAAATCTAAGCGAAAATACTGTTCAAAATCCGAAAAATATTCAAGCATAATATACTGGAGTTCCAACATAATATGCTGAAAGTTCATACACATGTACTCCAATCTCCCGTATATTATGCTGGAACTTTCCGTGTGTTGAAGTTCCAGCATAATATGCTGAAAGTTCATATGCAGATGCACCAATCTTCAATATATTATGCTGGAACTTTCCGCGTGTTGAAGTTCCAGCATAATAGTAGCTATTTTTCAATGATTTTACAAATACTAGCTATTTTTAATTACCAATCTAAAAATTGGCTAGCCCGTGCTATTTTCACTCATAGATTGGGATAAGTTTTGTATACACGCTATCCTCCCCAGACTCCACTTGTGAATTATTGTGGTTGTTATACTTTTTTATTTTTCATGATGGTGCAGAGCCGGTTTACACATATCTTAATTATTTCATTAGATAATTGTTATTCCAAGTAAAACAAGTATGGAATAACTTCACATACCAAATTTTAAATAGACAAGAAGAAATTACCTAAGATTTTTGCTATTTTCTATTCTTTAATTTGGTTTCTTCATGCCGCCGAAACTGAAAGGAAATTTTGGTGACCTATAGGTTACATGTTTGAGCGATGAAAGCAATTATTAATGTTTGTATTATGGTAGGCTGTCTGAATTACAGTCCTTAGGTGCGACACTTTCTTGTATCATGCGTGGATGCGAAATACTTTGTGCATCAGACTGCACCTTTTTTGTGATGCCGAAACTATTTTGTAGTCAGAGGCGGACGCACATCATGAGTTGAGGGGTTACCGGCACGCGGAAATTTCGGCAAAACTCTATATATACTTGCAAATGTCCTAAAAAATAGATCAACCATCCACTCTCGAGATTCATATTGATCAATAGATCTCCGCGTCCTGCCAGTTCGCTAAGTAGACTAACTCTACCGAGGGGCAACAAAGGCTGGAACTCTTCCTGCCAAAAACAAGGGACCTACTTCTCAGGCCCCCGTACCAATCGTTATTAGCAGTAATAAATTTATATTGAATATCATAGTGCCTTGCGACGCCCAAATCCTGAGTCCGCTTCTGTTTGTAGCCTTATATACCTTAGATATAGATTATGGCAAGAAATAATGAAGTCATGGGCTTACATGATCTTTAAGAACAATCGTCATTGTTTTGGATATGATTGTTTTCTTTATTTTATTTCCTTTTTCTTACTAAAAATTTTGAAATGCAATCATGTTATAGATATCTCGAAATTGTTGGGCCCCTTCCAATCTAACTTTTTTTTAAATATTTTTTATATCGGATGTCCCTACCCAAGTTTGATGCATTATGGTGTAAAAGAATTTACACTATTAATTACTTTAAGTATATTTCTCGATAAGCATCAACTGATAAATATGGTAAGAGTTTTGTTGATAGTGAAATTATTGTGTATATGTAACTTAAATCCTAATGTAAAAAGGGGTCGTTTAATAAAGTGTATAAGAATAATGCTGAATAAGGTGTATTAATAATGCTGATATTAGTTACGCTTACATTAGTTATGCTGACATATTTCTTATTTATTGTTTGGTTTGATGTATTAAAGCATTGCACAATTTCTAAAAGAATTATTTGTTTACAATAATACCTTCATAACCAGTCCATCATTTTATCTTTTTGAAAGAAATATATGTTGAGGAATGTTTTTACATGAAAAAAGTTTTAAAAATTATTTGATTTGTCTACCTATATTGTAGTATAGAACTAAATATTTATTTATAAAAAAGAAAATATGCTAGGTATTTATTTATTCATTAGGGATACAATTTTATTTCTCACTTTTTTGGATTATTTCATAGTTGCATTAATATAATAACATATTTTAATCAAGCATAAATTTTGACGAATAATTTTGTCTTTAGCTAAGCTAATGCATGCACTAAAGTAGTTACTTTTGATGCCGAAACACCATGATAGTTTCATGAATTTCAAACTTAAACATATGAAAAATTAAAGATTATCATGATTTTTTCGAAATTTAAAAAAATGTGAAACTCCATGACAGTGTCCTGGATTTTCGTCCAATATATTATGATGGAGTTTTCCATTTTTTTAATACGAAATCTATGACAATGCCATGTATTCCAAAAACTAACTATTTTTAATGACTTTTGAATAGGGTGAAATTCAAAAATAGCCAGATTTACAACTGGTCGTTCAAAAATAACCCAATTCAAAAGTAATCAAAATTTAGCCATTTTTCATGTAAAGATAAATTTGAGCAAACACTGTTCAAAACCCGAAAAATGCGCCATTATATTATGCTGGAGTTCAAGTATACTTATGCTGGAACTCTAACATATTATACTGGAGTTCGAGGATAAGTATGTTGGAACTCCAACATAATATGATGGAGTTCCAGCATAAGTATGTTGGAACTTCAGCATAATATACTAGAGTTCCAGCAAGTATATCAGTCCAGCATAATATACTGGAGTTTGGAGCACCGGTGCTTCAGTCTCCAATATATTATACTGGAGCCAACAAAGTATACCGGTCTAGCATAATATGCTAGAGTTCATATACAGGTGCACTGGACTCCAGTATCTTATGCTGAACCGGTCTCTGTTGCAGCAAAATAGTGGCTATTTTTCATTGACTTGATAAACGCTGGCTATTTTTGAATGACCAGTCCGAAAATTAACTATACCGTGCTATTTTTACTTTTGAATATGTAACTATTTTTCATTTACAAAACCCCTCAAAAGCCCCAGTGACCCAAATGAATGAATGTATTGTACATGTTAGGAATGGTTGGTTAGCAATGTTTCTAATGTGGGGATAAATGAATATATGTAAGTATGGTTGGTTAAAAATGCTTCTAGCGTGGGCATAAATGAATTTGTATCATATATATGTACATTGAAGGGCAGCCTTGGCGTAATTGATAAAGTTGCTGCCACGTAATTAGGAGGTCACGGGTTCGAGCCATGAAAATAACCTCTTGTATAAATACAGGGTAAGGCTAGTGTAATCTCCTAGCATAATCTACAAGTAGGGTCAACGGAGAATAGTGTGTACGCAAATCATACCTTGTGAAGTTATCTTGAATGACTTAATTGATAACATTGTAAATCTTACCTTGTGAAGTTATCTTGAATGACTTAAGGGAAAATTTCACATAAGAACAATTGGGCTCCCCACTTTTCAATGTTATAGCTCATATTTCAATTCACAACCAATAGCCCAAAAATAATAGGCTAAGATTCAACATCCAACTCTAATAGGTTCTCAAAATTACTATTTAATTTTTAAAAAAGATTGCACAAGCTTTTAAGTTAATTTTCGAATCAATAACTGTGATTCAAATATTAGTTCAACAAATCAAATCCATTTGGGTGATGAAAATTAGATTTTTAACAAGCTTAAATATGTGGGTTTAAATTTCGAATTTGATTTTGTGAGAAATTTAGAGTGGGTGTTATTTAGACTTATTAGAAATAATATAAGGAGGTTGTATATAAAATTTGAAGTCATTTAATGGAGATTTGGACTGGTTTTGAACAAGAATTGCAACTGAAAATTGTGGAAGAAGTTCGTCTACAAACGTTTGTATAAAGGTGTATAGAAGTGTATAATAATGTATAAGATGTATTTATACACTCATATACACTATTATACAAGATTATACAAAATTATACAAAAAACTGACTTCGTCTTCTTCATTGCGTCTTTTCTGAAATTTAACTCAAATCTACTCCAAATCACTTCAAATTTAAACTTTGAACTCCTTTTGATAGTTTCAATCAATTGGAACAACACCCAATCCAAACAATTAACAAACTCAAAAAATTCTATTTTCTAAAGCAAAACTTTGAATGGCCTTCAATGGTGGACTTCTACTCTTTATTTTTTTTACATTGCAACCATGTGACATAGGGGGAGCAGCAGTAATGGCGGACGGCCCCTTGAAGCATATGTAAAAGATGTGAGAAGAAGAGAGAGTGAAAGCAATGATTGTAAGAATACAGATTTAACTCCATAGCTTTTATAAGCAATGATTGTAAGAACACAAATTTTGAATTTGCAAGAGCTAGTGTTTTCAAAATGGGTACAATATGGGTTAGGTGGGGTAAAACTTAAAAACATGTGCCATTTTTTGTTATGGTGTGAAGTCATGTGAATTTTTTAGAGAAATTCAAAAATAGCCAGATTTACAACTGGTCGTTCAAAAATAGCCAGTTTCAAAAGTAAACGAAATTTAACCACTTTTCATGTAAAGATAAATTTGAGCGAAAACATTGTTCAAAACCCGAAAAATACGCCAGTATATTATACTGGAGTTCCAACATAAGTATGCTTGAACTCCAGCATATTATACTAGCATAATATGATGAAGTTCTAGCATAAGTACACTAGAAATCCAGCATAATATACTGAAGTTCCAGCAAGTATAAGTCCAGTATAATATATTGGAGTTTAGAGCACCGGTGTTCCAGTTTCCAGTATATTATACTGGAGTCAGCAAAGTATACCGGTCCAGCATAATATGCTGGAGTTCATACACAGGTGCACCGAACTCCAGTATATTATGCTGGATCGGTCTCTGTTGCAGCAAAATAGTGACTATTTTTCATTGACTTCGGAAACGCTGGCTATTTTTGAATGACCAATCCGAAAACTGGCTATACGGTGCTATTTTTACGTATTTCCTTGTAATTCTTTCATGACTTAATTGATAACATCGTAACCTTTTATTGTG